AAAGCTAGATGTTTATGTGCTGATCTTGATATGACGCTGACTGTTTTGTGTGTTTATCGAATGCTAGGGTTTTGCGTATTATTTTGATCAAAATTTTATTGGATGTGCTTCTAAATTGACTTATTTATATGACTTACGGCTTTCATTTACGAAAAGTTTTTAGAAAATAACATAATATGACGCCTTTTATCTCCGAAGGGGTAGTCAGAGGTGCACATTATGCCACTGTACACAATGTAACACCCACTTTTCACTATTTATGTTACAAGTCCCATGTGATAGGGAATGAGCCTATTGCCATATACCGGGCACAATTCCAGACTTCGTGTTGCTACTGAGAATTTTTAAAAACCCCTTGCCCGGCATTCGCTCTTGTGACCACTCGGCCATCGAGACAGTCCGTTTAGAAAAATCCTTTAGAAAATCTTTTCATAAATCACCTATTGGCTTCTAGAACACAATCATATCCACATACTTCTATCTCCTGTCATCTCCCGTGGAACAATGTGCGGTGTAGCATGTTTGATGCGCGCATCAAACCGTAGTAACGACATTAAATGCTACAATGTCAGAATGCACTCCAGGTGAACGGCAAATTGGGAGCTCTTTCGCACAAACCAACTGCGGTATTCTTGTTAATTCGAGTTACAAAGCCGATTGTACAGTTCACGTTTAAAGAAGAGAGGTTTAGTGTTACCGAAGAGTTTTAAAGGCTTAGTAAGTGGCAATCTTTTTGCATGTACTAAAAGATTCGTTAAATAATATCATGCTGGATTAAAAATAATACGATGACAATTTTGTAGAGATTAAGTGTCTGTGGTTTTAAAAATTGGTTGATGCTTAATAGTAATCACTAATACATCTAATTAATATCAATAATTCGAATGTATCCCTAATTAATGAAGCTTATAATTACTACTGAATCCATTGAATACACAGGCAAAGATTATAGTAATTAATATACACAAACAGCTTATTAGTATTTGGATTATACAAGCCCAAGTCAACGAATCAGTAATTGAAAACAAATCAGTTCTAATTTATGCAAAGCTGTACCTACTTAACGGAACCCAAACATTATCTTTGCTTAAGTTCAAGTTATATTTTTCAAAAAACTCGTTCAGTATTTAGTTGAGGTAAATTGCCGATGTAATGGGCCAGCGGTTAGTCCAGTTAACGACTAACAATGTTATTGAAATACTTTTTTATGGGCTACTTTAGATATTTAACCGACATTAACACGTAATAAAATCGGTAATAAGGTTTGAACTGCTTTGCGGATAATAAGGTTTCTTTGTAATTATTTTTAACTGAGAATTGGAAAGAAATAGCAAAATAGTTATTTGACAGATATTCTAGTTTAGTCTAACGTGACAGTGTTTTTAGAGCTAAGCTTAATAAAATATCGTTGTCTTATTTAAAGAAATGTTTATTTTAGTTTCTCTGCTTGACTGATTACCAAAAATAATCTGTACTAGATGACTAATAAAAATAGAAAATTACAATTCCACGCTACTTACGAATCCTAATTTATGCGGTCTGCAATCTATTTTCTACTAAAAGCAATTACCAATCCATTTAACTACAATTCCAATATTTGAACGAAATTAACGCGACAATTACTTTAAAACAAATAGAGCACATAAAGCCAATGAAATTAAATTCAATATCCAATTAATATTTAGTAGTTTCAATAAGTGAAACCCCAATAATTATAAATAGGTCTCCTGTTACCGTTATCTCAATAACTTTGAATGAAAGCATCGGTTATTTGCGAATAAAGTTCTATGAACATTTAATCTAAACTACGTTTATGGCATATTGCACAAATCGAGCTATACAAATCCAGTTTTTCATGGTCTCGCTTCATATCATCCTTCAGAACAATCGACGGTCAGTTAATGCTGGTCATATATAATTATATATATAATATAGTTTTACGTGTACCTACCATTGACGCTGGTGTGTGCACATTTCGCGGTCTCCTTTTATAGTCCTTCAGTTTCGGGCAGTTTATTCGCAGTACACGACTAGTAGTGACAACGAACTAGGCTAATATCGTTAAATGGTACAATGTTGCAAGTGTGTACTGAAACTAGTCTCCGGAGCGTAACATGGTGCTATTGTTAGATTGAACATTTGTATGTTCGTGTTTTATACGTTTATAAGTAATTTTGTTGTGTAAATTGGGTTTACTTTTGAAAGCATGTCATGTTATGTAATGGTTTATTGGAAATGAACAGTAAAACCTATAGGGCTATGTTAATTTAAACGTTTTTACGAAATATGATGGCTTTTAGAAGGTGAAAACGGGAATATAGAACAGTGCTATCAATAAAATATTTTCTATAATTGAAAAAAAAAAAGATAGACAGAGTTAGACATAATATTAAATTAGATTTAACATATCTGGAATCTGGATACCACTGTTTCAGACAGTCTAATTAGGTTCCCGTAATCATTGTGCTATTAATAGTCATTATTGTACGATAATTATCATTGATGATACCGCTAAATGGGGTATAATATTGTGCTCACATTAATTAAGACTTACATTAATGGAATATTCTCTAATTAATAACATTACTTGCTGATAGAGACAGACATACATACTCGTCTGGGATGATTTACAGATGTGTATAATTTTTTTTGTGGAATTAACCGGTAGACGAGCAGACGGATCACCTGATGGGAAGCAATCGGCGCCGCCCATGGATACCTGAAACATGAGAGACATTACAAGTGCGTTACCGGCCTTTTGTGATTTGGGAGATTCGAGGATTGGAGAGATTGGGGGGAGGGTAATTGGCCCTCCGGTAACCTCACTCTCACGACGTAACAACGCAAGCGTTGATATGATTGCTCTATTATCAATTGCAATAACTTTTTTCTACAATTAAAAGCATCTTAATTGAATACGACAATTACAGCCACAGTGACTGTAGTGTAAAATACAGAGTCGACAAAAAACCTAACAACAATTACACAGTTTAACTCTACAGTACAGCTGAACATGATAGAGTAAGAAATCCACTTAAAGTTATTAAAACACAATAGTGCGCCGCACTATCGGGCTAATTGAAAACTGCATTGTGATCTCAACGTGTGTGCCCGTTTATCAGCTTGATACAACTGGACCAACAAGCTCTCGAAGTCTCGAGACAAAGCGAAGAAAGTTGCCCCAAAGACTTTGTTTACTAGATGGTAAATCTCTTTGAAATACGCTTTAAGACAAATTAAATTGATAAAGAGTGATTTAGCTTGATTAAAAGTTTGTACACAACCAACTGGAGATTGAGTTAATAGTTTGCTGTTTCTATGTACACGAGCTTTAGACTTGTCTAAAGAGTAAGTAAGACCTACCTAAATGATATTAAAGGGAGACCAAAGTCTACTTGAATTACACACTCTTTATATCTCATTAATACTTAATTACATTTTGTCAACTGCCTCATTGGCCGCGTGGTCGCAAGTGTGACTGCCGGGCAAGGGGTCTCAGGTTCGATTCCAGGGTCAGAAAAAGTACTACCGGTTTTTTTAATCCGATTCGTAGCACGGAGTCTGAAATTGTGCCCGGTATATGGCAATAGGCTCGCCCCCTATTACGTGGGAATTATGATATAAATAGTGAAAAATGGGTGGTACATTGTACAGTGATATTAAGTGCTAATGTGCAACTCTGCCTACCCCTTCGGGGATAAAACGGCGTGATGTTATGTACGTATGTATTTGTCAACATTTCATCATCGGAACTGCGTAGAACGTAAAAGTTTACCGGCTCGAAGTGTAGGAGCAAGATTGGGGTGGTTCTCAGTTAGTAAGAGTCTGATACTCCCTCTAGCCTCACCCGGGCGGGAGAAGCCATGATGATTTCCTCCCTTAAAAAAAACCGAATATTCTACATGAAGAATTTATTAGCTTAATGGAATTATGTCGAGTATCTGTAGTATCTATTACAGCCATATACTATCAGGTTAACGAACAGGCAATACCACCACAAACGTACAAAATAATAACATGTACTGTTGCGGGTTGCCATTGTACGTCAATAACAACTAGACAAGCTAGTTTGTCTTATTAGTTTTTACACCTTGTCAGAAATTGTTACCAATTATTTTCATTATGAAACGTATCTTTATGTCATTCAATATGTTCAGCTGTTGTATACACAGTTATAAAATAAAAGATACCGTTAATTCTGAGCCATAAAGAAGAGAAGAATAAAGCTTTGCCTGTGTTTGAAGTATTTTTCAGGCAAACATTGGTTCCACGTTCCGACTAAACCACGATACGATGCACAACAGCATGTATCTCTAGCGTTAAGGGATATTTTACATGTCCATTAACATTTTTTTGGAATTTGCTATTCCGGTTCTATTGTAAACGCTATGGTAACTATAATAGAGGCTATGCACCTTACTATTTCACTGTGCAATTTTAACTATACAGTTGAACTATACACTTAAAACGAAAAAACGAAAGGTGTGTAGCGTGCATAACATTGTGAATATTCTAGTTTAATATGAATATCATAGTTTAAAAAAGGCTTTTGTTTCAACCCGTCAGTGACTGTCATTATAGCATATACATATATGTCACTAGCTTCTGCCCGCGACTTTTACGCGCAATCAATCCCGGTTTCTCCCGTTCCCATAAGATTTTCAGGATTTTTTATATCATAAGAACCTTCTCTTGACAATAAACGTTTATAATAATAATAAACGTTTATTAGCATAAACGAACAATAACAAACTCAATAATAAAACCTGCCGAATCGATTCAGCCATACTCAAGTTATGGCGTGACAACGGGAAACGGGTTTCATTTTTATATGAATAATAGATTATAGAATAATGACAGTCACATTTATGCTGTATTACTGCAACAATAATTATTGTTTATCTCGACGTGCGAGTGTACGAGCTAAAACATCTATTCCTAACTCTAAAGGTACCCATTACCAAAATTTGAAGATCATAATATTCTATTTTTTGTTTCAGTGCGTAATGGCTACTCATGCGTACCGGTGGCCTTAGCTGATGGCCTGGATATCAAGCTTGGTACAGCAGTCACGGACATCCAGTATGGAGGGCCAGGAGTTACTGTTAAGGCTGTCAGTACACGTAATCCAAGTCAACCGCAAACCTTCAAAGGTAAATAAACTAAATATTATTAATTCCCTTCTTTTATTTTTAGACGGCGAGGAATATTTTCAGTTCAGAAGGTTTTATAAAATTATCGGTTACGGTTTACACTTCACGTAAAAATGGTTTAAAGATTTTTTCTTGCTTTTTTACACACCTTTATTCAAAGTTGCCGTATTGCACGCGAATGCCGTAACGAGGGAACAATGGGAAAAAAACATTCGCTATCGATTGTAGCCAGCGGCTCACATACATATTGCGTTAGCGTCCGCATTTTCTGTTCCAAATAGAAAAATCAAATTCATGTGGCCTTAATATTAAGGAAGTGCCGTTTGCGAAAAAAAAAAAACAAAACGAGATAATGGGCGTTATGAGAAAAATCCACATCGCCGTCGGCTTGGCTCCTTGTCATTTCTTTGTCGCTGAATGATTTGCAATTCTAACGCGTTAATTTTACTTTGACGAGGCGCAAAAATACGGTCGGGCCTGTGTTGACCCGGCGGTCTGTACTGCCCCCCCTCGCCACATCTCCCTCGGTCGTCCAGCCGGAGGCTCTTCCGCCACATTTGCATACAGGCGGAGTCTATCGTAGACGAGGCAGTTAGATGTTTAAGAGGCGGCGCTAAAATGTATCTAGCTATTTTGAAATCGGTTACGCTTAACAAAATCTTAACTGTTTAGTTCCTCTAGTGATCATAACTGCGACTATTAAGTTTAAGACATTGATTTCATTCTTATCATCTCCCAACAACGTACCTATTCGTTTTATCAGTTTCGCAATTACTAAGCTGAAATTATACTTGGTGTAAAACATGGTTCTCAAACATACCGTCAAAACCTCTTAAGCTGAAGAGATTACGTATCCATGTAGCATTGGATTTGATATTTGAAGTACTTGTATTTTCTCTTCTCGTTGAGTATCGTTTATATTTACATAGTATTGTGAGTGATATTCGGTTCAATATCGAGGGTCCCAAAGGCTCTAGTACCAAATTCGATCCTAAAAGCTTTGGTGTCGAGTAGCTTGTATGTATGTAGAGGAAAACTATGAAGTTGATGTAACATCACTAGTCTTAATATAAAACAAAGCCCCTTGTCGCATTTGTCTTTCTTGAATCTTACCTTTCATAAAAGTTTTCTGTTTTCGTTTCACATAAATATTAAGCATTGTCTTTTATTTATTCATTTTATTTTTGCTCTGTTGATAAAAGTTTTTCTTTTTTTAGATGACACTCAACCTTGAGCTGGTGTCTTTTTGTATTGTCATTATGAATAAAAACTTATTTTTTTTTTTAGGTAAGATACAAACAGATTGAATTTAAAACGTTGAACTCCTTTTGTTCAAGCTCCTTCTTTAAACTTGCATTGATTCCTTAAGCGAACTGATTCAGAAAACAATCCTTTTACCTGAAGAATCAATTGAAGGAACCTCTTCAAGGCAGGTCAAGCAGATACCACGTGTGTGCGATATAAGGAAGTTTTTATTTAGCATTTTGCACTTTTGTTCGGTAAACCTAACCTTTTACAGTGATTGCTTTTGCCCTACTGCCCTACCTTCATTTAACTTGAATGTTATGTGGCACACTGTGGAGATTTTATCGAATGATTTTTTAAATTGAGGAAACATATTGACAGTATGCCAAGCTTGCTTTTATGTACTTTTGTGTTGAATTCCTTTTTGGAGACTTTGATTAAATAAAAAAGTAAGGCAGACAAAGTGTTAGTAATTACTACAATCACTAAGAGGAATATTGCAATTACTATTTTATGTACACGGAAGGTGGTATACATTAACAAGCAATTAAAATAAAATTATAACGAAGTAATAAATTCAGTGTATACGCGAAGACGATAATAATAAACTGAACAATTATGATGTAAAACAAATTGGTTAGCTCGTAAACTATATGAAGCAGGTGCTTCCTATATTGTTAGCTAAATCAAGGGAAAGAGCCAGTTAGTAATATTATTGATGTAATGAGCATTGGTAACACTTAATTGGTCCACGTTTATTCAGATTAAACGTTTGACCCAATTTATAATTACACGTCTATTACAAAGTAATTCATGTCCTATAATTATAGCTAGAGTAATGATAGGTGCATAATTGATAGATGAATATTGTTTACACATTGAATAAGTGAGTTCAAATGCACAAACGTTACTCAAATTTAAGTCGCGCTTAAGTATACGTAGTTCTGTTACTATCATTTTTTGTACGAGATTTTGAGATGACACGATATTTAAGGATAATTGGGGGATTTGATCCTTAATGGTTTGCTATTTACAAGTCCTCGTCTTAGCAGGAAATTGGAATGGGATTTGCATGCATAGTGAATGTACAGAATGAAGATTTTTATCATATTTATGAGGCTTACAGTTTCTAAAAAAATGTCATGGTGGCCCGAAGGTTTAAGACGTCCGCTTCTCATACACGAGGGTGTGGGTTCGAAACTTACCAACGGCAAGTACCAATGTGACTTTTTCCGAATTTTAAGTACTTTCTAAGATTATCTAGACACCACTGACAAACGGTGAAGGAAAACATCGTGAGGAAACCTGGGCTTATAATTTCTAATTAAAGTTTGTAATCGCCAACCTGCATTGAGTAAGCGTATTGATTATTGCTCAAACCTTCTCCGTATGAAGGAGGGTTTGCTCAGAAGTGGGCATTTATAGGCTGTTGATGATGACGGTTTCTTATAATGAACAAAAATACTGAAAAACATACATGGCTGTGCATCTTTTCTCCTATACAAAATTATGTATTTAACTAAAGCTTGTAGTGGAATTGATAAATTGAATCGAAATAGGTAATGTAAAGTACCGATGTATATGCGAGGATACCCATCTTTCATACAGAAGCGGATAGTAATTTGCCGTGTGAATGGATAATGCAAGCTTGCGTCCATACTAAGTCGATTATACTGAAAAAAGATACTTAAAATTTTTGCTACCAAGCAAAATAACAACTTTATCTATACGTTTTTAAATTTCGTAAATCCTTTAGATACTATGTAATATGTGCCTTTAGCCAAACGCCACTTAAGCGCTTGTCTACAGAGACAAGTGTCAATGTTTACGTCAATTCTATATAATTTGGTTTTCTATTCTACATATGTCTATATGAAATGCCATTTAGTGCTTGTCTAAGCGCTAAATGGCATTTGGCTACAGCTGCTGTTGTGAATAAAACCAAAATTGGTTAATTAAATTGTTAGTATTTTTTATCAAATTGCCATGGTACATCCTCAACGTTTCCTGGTAATTAATTCTTTTGAAGATATCATCACTTAATCCATCAATACTAGCAAAACATAGTTTGTCAGGTAGACTTTTATTGTAAGTATATTATTGTTAGCTGTATTAAGTTCTTATACCTCTTTATAATAGAACAATATCTTTGCAGGTGATGTTGTACTATGTACACTGCCCCTGGGCGTGCTGAAGGTAGCCGTGGCGAACAATGGACAAAACCAACAGAACTTCGTCAAATTTGATCCTCCATTACCTGATTGGAAGGTACAGAATACCCCTTTTGTTAAATCTTACAATATATTTTACCATATTAAATATTGATCATATGTGAGCTCAGACTCTGAGGTTTCTTTGAAGAGGTAAGGTCAAGGGTAGGTTTAATATTAAATATTTAAGGTCCTATGATATGCCTCGACTATTGTCAGACACAAAGGTAAACCCAAACCACAATACTATTGTTGTGTGTTACTAAAAACAACTTTACGTATGTTAGTGAAAGATATTATGTTCTAAGTGAACATGTTTGTGTGCCAAAATAATGGATAGACGAGATCTATTAATATACGAATATTCTATACGATAATATACGATATATATAAATAAATAAGTTATATTTTCTTATAAGTAAGGAATATGTTTTTTTTATGTATTAACTAGCTGACCCCGCAAAGTTTGTACCGCCTCATATTTCTTTTTCTCACCTTTTAAACATTCTCTGGACTTCTACAAATACTTAATTAAATACCAAAATTAGCGAAATCGGTCAAGTTTTAGTGAGACCAACATAATTATTATAGGTATATGTAGATAGTTGTAATAACCAATGCAACGGTTTTGTGGGGCTTAGATTATAAAATACTTACCTTTGTGATATTAAGATAAATAAATAAAAAATATAATAACTGCTCAAGACCGGTGTTGCATGAGTAACACATAAACAAAACCGGTTAAAATTATAAAAAAAAAATTATTTTGTCAACGTTTCGGGGATGTACCCTGTGTATTTATAGACTAAGACACATCTTAAGAGCTTAGGAACAAAATATATCATAGAACTTCAAAACATACTTACATTTAATTTGTTTAACATCCTATCTAATACTTCAAGGGGACAATGTTTACAGAGTGTTTTCATGCGTTCACGTTGTTTCAGGTAGCAGCTATCAAGCGACTTGGTTATGGAAATCTAAACAAAGTAGTTCTGTGTTTCGAGCGAACATTCTGGGACCCGAGCGCAAATCTCTTCGGCCATGTTGGAACGACTACTGCTAGCAGAGGTCTGATATTGACTAGTTTATTCAATTTTACTATGTTGTTAGATAATAATTATTACAGTAAATTATTGTTTAACCGATGCCCAATAATTAATTGTACACTACAATAAAAATACTGTTGGCTTTTAGTTTAGCATCAAAAGTAGTTATTGTTGTACCATAATGCCAGGTAGGCTTGAAAAGGTAAAGTCAAAAGTCAAAGTCAAAGTCAAAATCATTTATTTCAATTAGACCAGTAAGGCACTTTTGAACGTCAAAACAAAATATTTAAATATTAAATAATAAGAAAAAAAAAATGTCAGTCTGTAGGTCAGTCCTCTAGTGAAGCTATTTGCTCGTTCCAAAGTGTAGATTCCTATGGAGAAGAACGAGCAAGAAACTCCATAGGTTACTCTTTTTCAATCATGTTCACAATACAATTTTTGGTTACATTCTTCCGTTGAGTTCAATAATGTGAGAACAATGTAATACCAATATTTGGTCAAGGAGACGGAAAAAGAAAATAACCTTGAGGACAACAAATTTAATACAGTCTGGAGCTGACCAGTCCCATTTGACAGCGCCCGTTCACGAACATGACACGTACACCAGCACCGCCCAACTCGACCATGTTATAGGGAATCGAGCGATCCACTGCCCGTGCCACTGCCAATGAGACTTTTGAGTGAGCATGACAACTCCAGGCTGACACACATGCATTCTACTAGTCTAATTTAATTTAGGTAGTTACAGGGCTCTCACATTTACAATAGTTACCTATATAAAGTTTTACAGTGTGTACATTTGAACAAAATGGCTGTATTTGACATGATTGGAACTCATTGGAACATCAATGTTTTTCGCTATCCTGTGGAGCCGGACCAGCATGCCTCCAAGCATTTTTATCCTCTATGTAATCATTAAGTTTGTAGTATGCTTTTCCGCATAACGTTTTTTTAATATATAATTTAAATTTTGACTCATTTAAATGTTGTATTTCCTCCGGAATTTTATTATAGCATTTAACACAGAATCCCATAAAGGACTTTTGTACTTTTGTCAATCTAAATAGTGGCTGACTTAGTCTATCCCTATGTCTAGTTTGATAGTGGTGTCTGTCAGACACTTTACCAAACAACTGTAGGTTCTTCCTAACATACATAATGTTTTCATAAATAAATTGACATGGAACGGTCATAATGTTGATCTCCTTAAACTTTTCTCTGAGAGATTCGCGACGACCCAGGTTGTAGATAGCTCTGACGGCGCGCTTTTGTAAGATAAAGATAGACTCAGTGTCCGCAGCGTGTCCCCACAGCAAAATGCCATACGACATGATGCTATGGAAGTAACTGAAGTACACTAGTCTTGCCGTGTCTATGTCGGTTAACTGTCGGATCTTCCAGACAGCATAAGCTGCAGAGCTTAATCGTCCCGCTAGAGATGTAATATGAGGACCCCATTGCAATTTGTCATCTACAGTAATTCCCAGAAATGTAGTCTCTTTTACAAATTCTAATTTCCGACTGTTTAATAATATGTCACATTCCTTACTTCCAACATTTGGCAGAACAAATCTAATACATTTCGTTTTCTTATCGTTTAGCACTAAGTTATTTATTGTAAACCAATGTTGAACCTTCATCAGAGCATTATTTACGTCGTCATAATTATTTGTTCGTCTATTTATTTTAAAAACCAATGATGTGTCATCAGCAAACAATACAATATGTGGTTCATTTTGAAATAAATATGGCAAATCATTTATATATGTTAAAAATAGGAATGGACCTAGTATTGAGCCCTGCGGTACGCCCATAGACATGCTAGCACCCTGTGAGTTTACTTTGTTTACCTGTACTTTAAGTTGCCTATCCTGAAGGTATGACTTTAACAGATTCAGCGATACACCCCGAATGCCGTAGTGTTCCAGCTTCAGCAATAGTGTCTCGTGTTCAACACAGTCGAATGCCTTCGAAAGATCGCAAAATATTCCGATGGCATCCCGTGCCTCTTCCCACGAGGC